TGTTTTCTCTGGTTTCTCTCAGAATTGCAAAATTTGCCAGAGTTTCCAACTAGCTCTACTAATTAATATCCTCTGTGGTAAGGAGTCTACTTGCATAGCTAATCTAACTACTAGATTGTAACCACTCTTGTGTTTAATATGGATGGAGAGCCTGTGGAGACTGCTGGTCCCAGCATTCAGAGCTGGATCTTTAACAGCCTTTAACAGTCTTTGTGGGGCACTCAATGCCCAGACACATGGAGACTATGGTCTGCCTCTTCTTATACAAAGATCAGGTGCAGGTCACAAGGAAAAACTCCAAAGGCCACTCAAAAAACTGCCCCTGAAGGTTCCAGTTTGGCTACAAATGCTCCAGATGAATTATTCTCTTCCTGTGACCTGTCCTGACCCCAATAAATAAAATAATTAGCAGCAAAATGTTTTAGATTTTGGATATTAAACTTATTAAATTCTGCACAGGAAAGCATCTTTGTTAAGAAGAGCACTGTAGGAGCATATTCTGTTAATGAAGAAACAAACAGCAGGTTTTCGAATTTCAGGTATAGACTCAAGCGATGAAAGTAAAGACATAAATGTTCACTAAATGGTCGTGGATTTCACACAACCAACTTCTACACCCTATTGCCATAATGGCAACAACTCTGTCTGGTTACAGAACATTTTTGCAGCTTTTGTTGAAAAACTGAAGTTTCATGAGGCCAATGATAGCTATAAAAGGCTCGTAACCAATTGCTTACAGGATAAAAATGCTCTACCCATTTAACTCAGGATAGACTGGGATGAAGAAACAAAAACTTTTCTTCAGTAAAGTATGGTCCACTATCAGAAACCTACTGTATATTTGTCTCAAGACTGTTTATTCTGCTTTACAAGAAAAACTACAATGGAAACAGAACAAGCAGTCTCACACCAGTTGCACAAAAACCAAGTGGTATTTTTCTCCCAACTGGACCTCTACTGACAGACATACAAAAGGCCAGGGATTCAAGTGGGGGCAGTTCTGAAAGCAAGTAGAAATTTTCAAAAGATCAAATGACACTTGCCTGTTGCACCCTGGAACCCCACAGAAACAAATAAAGAAAAATTAACATTGTACATTTTTCCTACCTAATAGATGACAATATCTGGAATTCACAGCTAGATTATTAAACAGTGCACAGACGGCTTTTAAGATAATGAAGCATTAACCAATCACTGTTTTCTTTGTCACTAGAATACATCAGAATTGCTCTTCGCATCAGTACTTGGTCTGTTTTCTAGAGCAAGTTGCTCAGCGTTCTATTGTATTTAAAAAAGCAGCAGAGAATTCAGAGTTTCTCATATTGGCTTGATAAATTAGCTATTTTCCCATTCGCAGAACACTGTTAAAGCAAACTAAAATGATTGTTTATCAATGTATATTTAAAAAAAATCTGTGCCAATAATCACAATTGTTAATTAAGTTACTGGCAGTATGCCATTATTGGAGAAGGAGGGGCTGGTCCTTCCTGATGCAGAGCTGGTGGGACAGTCTCAGAAAGGGAAAAACAAATAGATGTACAGTGAAGCCTTTGTTAACCAGAAAACTTTGTTAACCAGAAAACTTTGTTAACCTGCATTTCCCTCAGCCACAATACTGTCACATCTTCAGGCGCACAGGCCTGGCTTGGTTTACCATTACTGGCTTAATTTTTTATTTAAGAAGTACTAATCTTTAACTCAAAATAGAAATGTGAGACCAACTGCCTCACACTACAAAACTACTAATATTAAAAACTTGAGTTTTACTATTATTGTCCATTGGTTTTTCCTAGGTTGATGGGACCCTCAGATAACCGGAATTTTTAGATAACTAGAAAGCCCTAATCCCCGAGCGTGCCGGATAGCACAGGTTTTACTGTACTATATACAAGCTAATACCAAAACAATTCTTCACAGCACCACCTCAGGATACCTCCACTCCCACCCCCCCACACACTGACCTTATTACTGGTTATAAAGCAATATCCTACCATTTTCAGCATGAATCTAAACTGTATTGGTGATCAACTACTTCTATGTCCATGCCTCAGCCATGTCTCACAGCTGACACAAATCATCTGTTCTACGGTAAACATCCTATTAAAAAAATCACTCTCAAATCATATACTCATTTGTACTATGCAGGAACATTTAAAACTGGCTTTTCAGAGTGAGGTTATAAAAGCAAAACGTTAATAAGAGATCTAAGAGCTGATCAACCTGTATGGTTAATGTCTTCCATTTTTCAGTACAATTTCACTTGTGATGTTTAACAGTACAAAGGAACTGCGGGGCACCAATTCTTTGTATGACAGAAGTGCTAACCCCAGAGAGGCCACCTCTTAACTAATGAAATCAATTTGATATGTGAGGTTTGAATACTAGACTTTTACAATCCAAACACACAAACCAACAACAAACTAATGCTTTAACCTGTCCATTTTCCAAGAGCATAATGCACAACAATGCTACAGCCACTGCGCAGGGAGAAGAGGCTAAATGCCCGCGTGAGTCCCTCTCCTGCTTCAGCCCACAGAGAAAGGTACTGCAAGAGAGCTTTCTCCAAGCAAGATACTCAGCTAGCATGGGTCACTGCATGCAACAGCATGCCTCCTTGGAGTCGCTTCTCAGTGAAGCCCCTTCTCTCAAGAGGTGCCAAAAATCAAATCTTGGCTACTGAATGCTGCATGTTCCACATGTTAGTTCCCAACGTGTTGAGTAACCGTGTTAACGGAGATGGATAGCGCTGTCAAGCGGGAAGCTGGCTCATCAGGATGGAAACAGTGGGATACAGTGACCTTTACATTCAGAGAAAAGTGTCCCTGAAATGGCATGAAATGGATTTTTTAAGAAACCCAAACTTCTTTGCTTGCTTTTATTGTTGTGTTTTGTAATGAAACAGTGTTGCTGTGCTTCAGTTTTCCTTGGACTCAAATCCTGGACCTCTCTCAAAAAGCAGACTAGCTGACAGAGGAAATGAATCATTATCACAGTTTTGAAAGAAGTTTTCTTTAGGAGCTCTACATTATTATATCCCAGTTTCCAGGACACTTGGTTTTAAAAGCTGCTGCTGCTCACACTGAATGCAGGCGAAACCTCCTGGCTGCCTTTTATTTCGATGTTTTTTTAATAAGGAAATACTGACTAATGCAGCTAAAAAGCCAAATTTCCAAGCAAACCCATTTTTAAATTAGTCTAATTGAGCACTGGGTTTACTTTTCTAAAGTCAAGATTGATCTGAAAGTTATGGATTTTGCTTCCAAATGTAAGCAGTACCATCTAGTCAATACAAGCCAATCACACGAAATGCAGAAAAATCATTTCAACAGAATATTAGTTTTCAATTTTCTTTCTAAAGGGTTTTCTTCTTTTAAACTTCGTCTCTACTGCAGAAGAATCATCTACACAACTACAGAGTGACATTTACCTTCAAAAGAGGATTTGTAGCACTATTCTAGGGAAACCAAAATAAATATTGGTCCAATATTAAATAATCAGAATAAGCTATCAGTCATCAAGGGAATCCAATACAAATACAGTAAACTTCCGATAATCCGGCACCTTTAGGACCCAGGGGCTGCTAGATTATCAGATAGGCCGGACTATCAGAAGGGGGGGCTATGAGGGGTCTGGAGTTGGGTGGAAGGGGATGTCACCCCAGAGCCCTCATAGCCCCCCCTTACGATAGTCCGGCTCTGCCCCAGACGTCCCTGATTCAGCTGCTGCTCGTCAGTTTCAGCAGCAGCTGAATCGGGGATGACTGCAATAGAGCAGCTGGGGGGCCGCCAGGCTGGGCCCCTGCCGGGTTGGTCCCGCAGCGCCGTCCTTTGGCGCTGCGGGACCAACCCGGCAGCACTCCAGCTGCTCTGCCCCTGGCGTCCCCAAGAGTAGCTGGGGTGCTGCTGGGTTGGTCCCGCAGCCCCGAGGGGCAGCGCTATGAGACCAACCCGGCAGCACCCCAGCTGCTCTGCTCCTGGCTTCCCCGATTCAGCTGCTGGTCAGTTTCAGCAGCAGCTGAATGGGGGAAGCCTGTCCGGCTGCCCCAGCACTTCTGGGTTCCTGATGTTGCCGGACCATCAGGAGTCCCGGAGCATTGGATGCCGGACTAATGGAGTTTTACTGTATATTAGCGGCCAAGTATGGTATGACACAACTTTTTTTAAATACACAGTGATTAGAAGATGACATTCAGGTGTCGTGGCCCTGAAAGGAAGCAGAAAGGAAGCTTCAGGGGGTACAGGATAAACTTAAAAAACAACAAATGGTCTGGTAGGACTTTATAGACTAACAAAACATGTAGATGGTATCTTGAGCTTTCGTGGGCACAGCCCACTTCTTCTGATACCATAATGTTATGCAGTTATACGCACAGATATACTACATGTTGAACTTCTCTAATCCAGAACTCTCTGGTCCAGAAACATCTGTCATGCGGAATGATTTTAGTTAGTCGGATGTCCACTTTTCATGGGTGTGACCAAGTTTCCTGCAGTCTCATAAAGTTTGTTTACAGCCACCAGTCTCTCTCAGTGTTCTGTGCTGCAATTTAGCTCTAATTTACCCCTAAATGTCCTCTAGCAGCCCAGTAAGCAGTGGAAGTGTTGGTCATGCTGCTAGACAATATTGAGCTCCAGTGGTCCAGAAAATTCTCTGGTTTGGAACTGGTCCGGTCTCGAGGATTCCAGGACTATACCAGTTCAACCTGCACATGGCTCTCTGAATAATTTTTTGAGGCAGCAAGCTTGGGGCCTTACCGTAAAGAAGTAAGTCATAACATTTTCCTTGGTTGATCAATACCAGTCTTTCAAACTTCAATAGGATTTATCAAATGCTTTCTAGACCAGATAGAGACTGAGGTTGTTACAAGCCCAGTTGTAAGAAACACTACTGACTTAACTCCTTTCTAGGTTTCCCATTAATTCCCTTGCACAGTGACTTCAAGAACTACCAAAGGCTGTTCTCTTATGCCAATGAGCGTGAACAAAAATGCAGTAGAGTACCTTGTGCCTGAGCTGCAGAACTGTGGGAATACCCTAGAGCCAGGAGCGCCGTCTCCACCAGCTGGCTAAAGAGCACATCTTTGCGAACCAGAACGAACTCTGCATGCTCCTCTCGATTATCGTATTCGAGGGAGGTGTCCAACTGCTCCACCACACAAAAGACAGGAATCATCAAACCTAAGTGAGAAAAGTTTTTAAAAGAATCATCAGTAACAGAGCAACAGGAACAAATACATCATTCATCGCCAATTAAAAATGTCAGATTAATACACTTTCTGGAGGACTCATCTGAGCAGAGATCTGCCTTTCTTCCCTCTTTTCATTGGAGTACGGAATAATTTTTCGAGAAATAGTGGGTGCTTCATCCCTTGACTCATTTAAAACCACTCTAGATTATGGAGCAGAGAGAATACAACACAGTCCCTAAGTGGCATGTGGACAAACAAGACACCTAATAAGGCTTTCCAGCTCCAGTTTGTTACGACTCCATACATTTTCCTATACCATGAAGCCAATACCAATATACTGAACTCTCTATATATTATGTATGTAATATACCAATGCCTGAACTCTGCATTTAAATATTGTTCCCTCTCCTCCCCACAAACTGTACACTTCAGGAGCATTAAAAACCCAAGGCTACCTCCATACATGATTATGTGGTCCAGTCAGAGGAGGTATGGTCATTAATACACATACAGACTGAAGCCACTCAGCCTCTTTGCCATATTAAGAGCTACAGAAACAGGCAATGACAAGCTCACATTGTCCATGAGAAAACCCACCCTCTTAGCAGGTGCTGGTCCTGCAGAATCACTGAGGCGGATAGCTCATTATCCAAGAGAGTGTCGGTCTGGAGACGATCTAGGGTAGAGGAAAGTTCCTCTCCCAGAACAGCCCAGAGAAGGTTTGAGCAGAATTGTTTTGTTTTGCTTTATTGCAAGTTCCTTTTGGGACTCCTGAAAGGTTTGCACCTACTACAACTTGTGTGGCTTGTGTTTGAAACAAACTAGGGAAGCTACCTCTCACATTAGGTTACACGCAGCAATGTTATCACCGTTCCTTTTCAAACTTCTGATCATCTCTGCTCCAAGACCTTTATTAATTGGCTACATATACATGTGAGTCATTGAACATGCTGGAAGCATTATGAGGCAGGATGCATCTCAGCCTAAATTGGTTAAACTAGCTCCTATCTACCCAGTTTAATGAAAGGAGTTCCTTTAGGTCTATTACTGTGGGGGGGGGGTCAGTTCTTTCTGAAAGAACAGCAGTATAGCTCTCTCGCTCTCTCTGGCTAATGGAAAATAAAAGAAAAACAAATGGCTATTTTTATATTCTGTCAAGGAGAACATTCATTGTACTACTGTATTGCACACTGAAGCAAAATGCAGGGAAAACTGAATTTCAAGAAGTCAACTCTCCTTTCTTAAGAAGCCAATTAAAATCTCTTTGCGGTATCCACTGCAGTTCTATTTCTCTCTTCAGTTAAAGATCACTTCCATGCACACTGACTGATGTTTGCTGGCTCTTTAGGCATTTGCTTGGGGAAAAAGCTCCATTTCATTTGCGAGTCACAGCCCTACATCATTCAGGACACAGTGAAGTCAAGGACAAGGACAGCAGGCAAAACTAATGGACTCAAATCCTTATCAATGGATACAGCATGAGACAAAACTCATTTTAAAATAAAACTGACATGCACAACTCAATCATTATATTAGACACCGATTGGGTTCTCTTTGACACGTGCAGCAGTGGGGATTGCAATAGCAACAAGCTCCGGCATGAACCTCTCAGTATCAGATTACTGTGATTCAATCTGTTTGAATTAAAAAATGTTTAACTAAACTAGTTCGCAATTGTGCTTATTCTTTATGGACTCAAAAGATGGACCATAAAGCTATCTGTGGGCTTCTTTGCTGGAAAGATGCTATGGAATTAATTCTGCTGACGCTGGTGACAAAATTCCTACTATCTTCTATAGCACCAGGTTTAACCCTACTTGCCTGTAAACTACACAACTAGTTCAAACAAAATTCAGCCTCTCTAAGGCTATGTCTAGACTGCAGGCTTCTTTCGAAAGAGCCTCTTTCGAAAGCATCTTTCGAAAGAGCCTCTTTCGAAAGAGAGCGTCTAGACTGCACGGAGAAATTTCAAAAAAGCGGCTTGCTTTTTCGAAAGAAAGCATCCAGTGAGTCTGGATGCTCTCTTTCGAAGACGGCCTCTTTACATTGAAGAACGCCTTCTTTCGAAAGAGGAGCTTTCGAAAGAAGGCGTTCTTCCTCGTGAAATGAGGTTTACCGCCATCGAAAGAAAAGCCGCGTTCTTTCAAAATAATTTCGAAAGAACGCGAAAAAACCCCTGAGTGTGGACATGGCCTAAGCGAAAATCTTCTGTTTCTATTCAGATATGGTTTGCCATAGTGCTTTTGACGCCTGATTTATCATTAGCAATGCCAACAATCTGTGGTGTAACTATTAATATGTTGAGAGACAAATTTATGATGACTGTTGTTACAAGCGGCCAAATTCAGATGCAATGCTAATGGCTGCATAAAATACACTTTGATAAATTAGCACGCGTATAAGAGAGAGAGGGTGTTGTTGCATCTTTTATCCTCCTACTGGTTGTGTTTGTTGCCACGACCCTCTCAATCTATTTATTCACTCCTTGACATATAGGTTTTATTGATTCCCCATGCAATTTATACTATCATTTATGTCATCTCTGTAGAAAAAGCTTTCAAATGCTGGAAATAGAATTGCTCACTGTTTAATTTTGGGGTGGTAGGATGAACCCACAGAATTACTGCAGACCCTCTGTAATACTCCCAAATACTGCTTTTAACACGATTCTTTCCCACCACTTGTGCTTGCTGGCATCTCGGCTACAGAGATGGGCTTTCCAAACATTACTTGTGGCCCAGCAGAAATGACATTAAAAAGAATGGGGGGCCAGGGCAAATTACCACATCCTCTGCTAGTAATAGGTTTTGGTGACTCTGGCAATAACCCCTAGAACTTTAACACCAATTCTACTATACTAAACATTGATAGTAAATCCAACTGTCCCTAGAAAATCTCATTCCAGGGAAGTACCGCCTACTTTGCCCTCTATTTAGCACTGGACAGAATAAAGCTATCTTTTCTTCAATGGATTTATTAGCTTAGAGTTCCCTGTTTCCTGACAGAGAGAGAGAATAAATTAACATTCTTTACTGTACATGAAATATGAGTGAAGAAAACATTTTCGGCTGGAAGCCAACACCCATCTCCTAGGCTGATACACACAAATTCTCACACCTAGGTACATATATTACACCTTTCATATCCAACCCTAATACAATAGATTTAAAGTACAGCTGTGTAAATTAGTCAACGCTCTGTAAGAGTCCCAGTCAGAGAATTTATAGCAATATTTACAAAGCTGGGAGGGTGAGTTTTGACAATGAAGCCTTGTAGGTACTAATGGAGTAAGGCAAAACAAGCCTTTACTCAGTTACTTTTAACACTGTTTGGTTCTCTGCATTCCTGATCACCCAGAAACTCTCACACACACACATACCTCTGATCCTAAAAATTGTATGTATATGTGGGTCTATATCGCTCATGGCACAGAATATAAAACAACATGATTTTTACAATCAGAGGCTACAAGAGGTGTACTGAAGTCAAGAGGGTGTTTTTTTTTTCCCTTTCTGAAAAGGATAAATGCAATGCCAGAATGCCCAAAGGCATTCATATTAAGCTGCAGCTGTGCAAGACATTTTTCTCTTCTTTGTTAATTTATAGAAAAGCAACAAAGTTTCTGCATTTAAATATAAATTTAGATGGTGCTTTAACCCTGAACATACAGCCGAAACAAATAAGGGAAAAGAAGAACCTAGAAAATAGCATTGGTACATAACAGCCACGCTCCATACTCTCAGGAAGAGGTCAGATTACACTATGCACAAGTGGCTTTGACTTTTCTCCAGGATGGCACAAGGATAAATGGTGCATGATATAACTGTTTATGCCTATGTATATTTTCCAAAGCAAGGGGGTTTAAGCTTCATAAATCCTTTTCTAGTCACAGGGAGTTGTACAGTGAAAGCTTTGCACATGGCTTTCCTTACTTTTTAGGCAATTTTTTTCTGAAGTTGGCCTCAGGTGCTGAAAGAGACTAGAACAAAAGCAACACGGAAACCATTTACCTGACATTAGTATTTTACTCTATGTTTTCTCAACCCCAAGTTCATTCTGCTGTGAATAACTACTTATACGTCCATAAAAATCAGAGCATGGGCTTTAAAAAACAGAAAGTATTTGTTCAATTGTCTGAAGCATCTTCTTTCAAAGAACTAGTTTTTGGTTACATCAGTGTACAAACTTTCACTGGTTTAACTAAAAGTTGTGGTCATTTAAAAAAAAATCACAAATCAATACAGAGTTCTAAACCAATTTAAGAATGTCTACATAAGGGTTTCCACCAATTTAATTGGATCAGTCTGTGCCATTTGTGTACAGTTATCAGACACTGTGATCTGGCCTCTTCCTGAGTGTATGAAGAGTGGCTGTTATGTACCAATTTGAAGAAAAAATATTTTTAGTTAAATCAGTGCAAGTTCTGTGTGTATAACTCATCAGCTCCTTTGGGTTCCTCTCACATGACTATTTCGAGGCACGCTGTAGTATGGAGTCTTGCACTGGTTCTGGTACATGTGTCTGGTGTCTCCATATGTGGGGCGGGGGGAAAGGATGTAGAAAGCTGGTGATGATGTTAAATAAAAAAAATTATGTACACTCACTTCTCATCTCCACTGAATGGGAGGCATTGGCTGTTTATTCTAATAAAAATAATACAAAGATCAGCCAATAAGAGTAGGATGCAATAAAAATGTGTCTATTCAGATTAAAATGTATTTTCATCGGGCCATATTTTGAGCTCTATCTAGGTGTTATTTAATTTAATCTAATTTGAACAATTTCCAAACATCATCTTGATTAATTTCAACAGCATGGTGTTATGGAAAGATTTACTGTACTGGGGTTCTCTAGAAGGGAATTAATAAAGAAGCCAAGTTCTCAGCTTGAGTAACACAAGATTTTAAGACTTCCCAGATTTCTAGTGGGAATACTTCATAGCACAAGCATGTTTTCTTTGGGGAGTTAAACCCACCAAAATTATTAAAA